CTCTTTTCACCTACAAAGAGATGATTCTGTGAAAACTAAACAGTACATTTCTTTTGAAAATGCATTCTGGAAATGAAGAAGTACTCATGTAAGCACTTATAACTATTGTTGCTGCCACCAGAATTCTACTTTTGATTCTAATATTTTCCTTTGAAATTGCACACCAATTAAAATATGCATGTTATGCAATTGTACCTTTGTATAAAAAATCCCAAAGCCCACATTCTCCTTCTCCCCTTGAAGCAAGCCAGTTACTCATCTTGGAGCTGATGGCCAGAGAAGGGCTGGCTGGGTCGACTCTGGCTGACTGTCCGTCTAATCTTTGGTTAGCAGTTTTAAGTTTCTAAGCATGTAATTGGGAAGTATTTTGTTTTGGTGCCTTAAAAAAGTGTTGGCATTACTCTGTAGCAGGGTCTCAGTCGGGCTCCCCTGCAATGCAGAAGACCCCAGGTCCATCCTGTGTCAGGAAGATCCCCTGGAGAAGGGATGGGCTACCCTCTACAGTATTCGTGGGCTTCCCTTGTGGCTCAGATGGTAAAGAATCTGCCTGCAAGGTGGGACACTTGGGTTTGACCCCTGGGTCGAAGGGCAGATCCCCTGGAGGAGGAAATTGCTACTCACCCCAATATTCTTGCCTGGAGAATCCCTATGGACAGAGGAGCCTGGCGGGCTACAGTCCATGCGGTTGCAGAGTTGGCCACAACTGAGTGACTAAGCACAGCTCACACAGGGTCTTGGTCACCTGAGAAGTTTACCATGTGCGAGGTCTCTGGCCATCCCTGCAGCCTCCAAGTAATGCCTTCTCACTGTGAGTGTCCTATCTGCTTCACAGCACTGCTCTGCGGTTTTATAACTGTCGTGATGACCATTCGTCCTGGTCTTGTGAATTTGCAGCTATAAGCAGGAAGAACTTTCCATATGGGGATTTCCCTCTTGCCATTTAAAAAGACATCGTGAGTTGTGAATGACTCAGAGAGAGTGCACTTTCTGCTCTAGTTGAGAAGAGAACTGTCCTTGAGAACGTGTATGAACAGACCCTCTTCATGAAATCAACAGTCCAGGTTAGCATGCTTGTGTAGACAGATAAAGAAGAACCTTATCTGTTCCTTTTCTTAAGCTACTTCTACAAGAACCTGCCTATAATTGCCAATTATAGAATACTGTTTTCCAAAAACTATTTGAATTATAGCACCCATGTGATAAAATTCTAATGTATTTTTTACTTTCTAATAGATAAACCTCTAAAAAGTGTTTAATATTATTAAATGAATCACATTTTACCATATAATTGAGTTGATAATCCTCAAATCTATCTTACAATTATCACTGATCTAATCAAGTCTGAAAAGTATGATTTTTCAGATGATGATAAACTAACTTCAGATTAAATTATATTTTGACCTTACATTGATGCAAACATCATTTTTGTGCTGGTGTCTTTACACCATGTATGCGTGATTACTGGTTAAAATAACTATAATCCCTCAAATTATACCATGCCTCTGAATGTGACATCACACAAGGCCAACAGTCAGATATGTCTCTGTTCTGTTATACACTTGACTCATGCTCTGTTATATAACCTAAAACTAACAGAAGAATTACAAAGGCTACTGAAAATGAGCTACTGGTGGCTCTGATCAAATTTAGAAAATAAAAGGGAGAAGAAATGAGACTCATATTTTCAAAGCAATTTCACCTTATCTTATATAATCACCAAATACATTTTACTTACCACATATAAATTTCCTGATCGCCAGCTCCACACGTTTTTCACAAACAGTGTATGATTTTGTACTGCACAGAAGCACAAGCGTCCTGCCTCTTTCCTTTGCTCTCTGACTGAGAGCAGTTTCCTATCACTCTCTTTCCCCTTCACCAGTTGTCTGATTTTCTTGACGTATTTACAGGTATCCACATTTCTTTTGTCCCACAATGTGCAAATTACGGCCTTTCATGCTTCCCTGTTCACCTTTCTTTAGAACAAAATCACATAAACTCTTCCTTTGGAGGAAGATAACAGAGCTTACCAAGCTCTTTTTCTCTGTAATCTCAGAATGGAAAATTCTCTCTACCCTGATGCAGAGAATTCCTTTCAAAATTATGCCCCCTTCCTCTATAGATCAGTCTGACTTAGACCTTCCCTGAAAACCGTGTGCAGTCAAGACGAGAACCCCAGGACCGCCCAGCAGGCTTCCTTTGAGGACAAAACCCCAGCACAACCAGCGTGGTAAACCCCCCAGTTAGCCATCTTTTCCTCTCATCTTCCTGACTGTAAGCCAGGGCTAACGATGCTCAGCTCATAAGTGTCCTCTAAAACAGACAGTGTTACAATAGGCACTGCATATTGCAATAGATATTATTTTGTCAAGATTTTAAATCAAATAAGTGTTCTGAAACTTTCTTTGCAATTTGATAAAATTACTCTTAAGTTCATTTACAGTAATAACCAAGTGAGAGGAGCCTTGTATGAAAAGGGAAATTGATAGGGCCTTGTGCCCCTAGACGTCAAGATGCCTTCTGCTGAAAACCATACCCTACTTAACTTCCCACTTTGCTACAGATCTTGGTCCCCAGAAGCAACTGGACGCACAAAGCCAAGAGCTAAAAGCACTCAGGGGAGCTGACGTAAAATTCCACTTACAGAAAGATCTTCTAATAGAAATGATCTCAAATACTTAAAGTAATTGTAGGATGGATATGTTCACAGGTACGTAGGAAAACAACACAATCTGAAACAATGCAAACACCCCTAACTAGGGAAGTAGCCCATGACAAAGCGTTTATGCACTGCAATACACTTGTCCATTCTACGTAATACATTTTAAGACCTTGTGGTAACAAAGTATTGGTGTGAAGAAAGCACAAAAATACAGAACTGAAAATACAGTATGATCCCAACTGTATAAAGCTAGGCATAGAAGCAATAGAAAGAAACACACCTGAATGGGAAGGATGACTATATCTGTGTGGTGGAATTAAGGATATTTTCCTTTTTCACATACTATTCTGTGTTTCATTAATTTCTGCTGGTGTCATTTTAGGATGGACTATTAAACTTGTATCTGACAGGTTCAAAACTTCTCCAACAACTAACTGTCTAAGGAGATTAAGGGGTATTCTACTACTCGTTCTGTATTAGCTTCTAGAAATTAAGAGTTATCTCTCTCTTTTGAAGATGACCTCAGAAAGTCATTAAATTGAGTAAGAAATTAAGTACAGCTGCTTCTAATGGCTAAACTCCATATGCACATTTCTTTATACTTCAGACTTTCATCCACCAGGTAAGCATAGTACCTTCCTGACTATAGAATATGCAGATTCACAGAAATATATTCGACTAAAATCTTAGGGAAAAAATACGTTTCCAGTCCTAGCATATTTCTTACCTCTGAAATATTGATAAATATATGCAATATATCAGTAAGCAAACTACCTACCTAATGTAGTAACTTGGAAATTTAAAATATTGTGTTTGATTTCATTTCTAAACACACTTCTCAGGCAGGAGGGATGTATGCAGGATGTATGTGGGAACACTAAGGTTAAATCCTAGAAGATTTAGCAGCAGGGAGAGCCCTTGGAAGGGAAGACATTCACTGAACAGACAAGGAAACCAAAGGCACAAGTAGGGAAGAACCCATTCAAGACGAGCAGCAAGGCAAGAATAACAACCGACACTGTCCCAAGGGAACGCCCTGACTGGCTCGAAGGCCGTCCCACGGGCATGGGTAGCATGCTCACTCTGTCCCCTTCACGGTGCGGAGGGCCGGACAAGTCTCTGATGGAGCTGGAACACAGCCCCATGCCGTCATGTACCGGCCACACACCTGGGGATGGGCCCAGACCTCTCTCTCTCTGCTTTCTCGTCTGTACAGAACTGGGAATGTCAGAAGTACAGAAAATGTCCTGAGAACAAGGAGAGAGGGTCATGGACTTTGGAGGGGCCTTCTTCCTGCCAACTCATGGGGATGTATTGCAGAGCCATTGTGCCCTGCAGATGCCTCCATGATTCACACAAGCGCAACCTTCACCACTGATTTTCACATAAGGGGTGTTTGGCGACTTTTGTCCTAAAATTTAACTTCTTAATTACACTCCACCAACTTTAACACAGGCAGGAGACACAGGTTCAATCCCTGTGTGGGGAAGATCCCCTAGAGAAGGAAATTGCAACCCACTCCAGTATTCTTGCCTGGAGAATCCCATGGACAGAGGAGCCTCGTGGGCTATAGTCCAAGGGGTTGCAAAGAGTCGGATATGACTTATTGACTAAACACACCACCAACTTCAAGTTAGAATCCTTGTGATTAGCCACAGCAATTTTGGGAAGAAGAGGACAGAGTTAGCACCTCACAAGAAGTTTGTCAGGAACGTGGGTTATCAGTGGTTTGATGAAAAACTATTAGAATCAGTACACTGATACTAAAGGCCAAGATGAAAGAGCTTAAAGGCAATGGTAACTCCAAATGCCCTGGTGTCCTGCGGATCATCAGACACATGCAGTTTCTGGTATCTGCGTCTGCATTCCGATGGCCACAGTTCAAGGCCTTTGGCTCAAGTCAGGACCACTGCGAGTCCTTGTCAGTGCCACCTAGGCTAGGCGTGGCTTTAAAGGCAAACTCCGTTACAGAATGGAACCAAGGACAACAAAGAATGTTGCCCACTGCTTTGTCCAACAAGCAAGAAACGTCCTTCATGCAGGTCAGCTTTTGAATCCTGCTTTAACCTGAGTGGGAGGAAACACAGCTTACTCTGAAACCATCTCCGGTTTCCACTTCTGAAAACATAATCTGCTTCTTTTCTCTGACTGACTTCAGAGACCTCACACTTGGAGCAGCCTTGCCCGGAATGAAGCGTGGGGTAAGGCAGGGACTCTTATAAGGCTATGGGACTGCAAAGGTGGTCAAGGAGGGCTTGCTGATACACTGCTCAGCAAAGTTTCTAAAAGGTACTTGTGCCCTGAAAGTTGGAAAATCAAAGCATAGACAATAACTTACCCAAAGTGACTGGCTAAGTTCATGGAAATACAAAAGAGAAGGAGGTTTTTGATCATGATAAAGCTAGAGAACATTCCATTGTCCATTCCCAGTAAGAATAACAGCTGAAGCAGATGAATTTGGAAGAAGAGCTATTCCTTTCTCCACCTTGATCTTGAAGCTGAAAGGGGAAAAAACATAAACATGACTGTTGTCATGAAACAGCTTCTAGAATCAAATCACACTGCTAACACACACAATTCATACAGAAAGGAGCCTGGCTGTCCTTGTCCATCATGGCTCCATATCAGGAGTTATCTGTGTTCAATGGCCAGTAAGGTGGGGTGTAAAAAGAAATTACAGTAGGCTTAATTTTCACCTTTACTCAAGGTGCAGAATCATTTTCCTAATTTGTCTTTCCCATGTCGCAAATTCTTTATTTTTCCATGTGATCAAATGACCCTCTAGTCCTATGATTAGAATCAATGCCTGAAGTTATCTAACTGTATTTTACATCTGTCAAATCCACAAGTGGAATAATTTTACCTTTCTGAAATATTTGCCACGCGTCAAAGCCAGCAAGCTACTCCTTGTTCTGCAAGGTGCTATGAGAAAGTATGTGGAAAGAGGGGAAAAAAGGCACATTTAAACAGGTCTTCTGCAAGATCACGACAATATAAGAACTGCTTATAAAAGAAGGCTGCCACTTTCTCAGCAATCTGTCCCCATGACTAAAGAACTTAGTAATCACTGCATTTGGGAAAGGCTCTCGGCTCTGGGTTATATGCTGGGCCCTAATTAATGCATCTGAAATCCAAGCAGGCACAATCCCTGGGCTCTGCAACTAACCCTAGAGAAGGGATATATTTCTCAATATGCGCATAATGCAAATGGATAGACATCATATAGGAGCACCGCGTGTTCAAAAGCAACATTTTCCCGAGGAGACCCCAGGCCAACTCCGGAAGGGAGAAACACACAACAGGTACTTCGACCTCCGAAACCAAGGCCCTCGAGTCGAGAAAGGCAGGGCGGGGATCGCCTGGGTGCGTCCAGGGGCTGCTCTCCAAACCCCGGGCCGGAGTCCCGGCGGCGAGCACGCGGCGCTGCATGCGGGAAACCCGGGCGGCACCTCCTGCCGCCCTCAGCCTGGTGAGAGTCGGGACCAGGCTTTGGGGGAGTCGGGACCCCCAAAGACAGGCTGGCTCCCACGGTCCCAGGACCGCCGCGGGGGCTCGCGAGTGCGGGGGTGGCACTGCAGAGCTGCAGCCTCCGCGCCCGGGCGCCCGCGGCCGGGTAGAGTCGGCCGCCCGCCCGGTCCGCAGCGGCGCGCCCAGCGCCAACCGTTTGCCCACCTTCCCCGGCTCGCTTCTGGCCCCGGCAGACCTGCCCTGCTGCCGCCCCGGGTCCGAGCGGAGCGTCCTGCCACGCGGCGCTTTCCTCCTCGGCCCGGAGCGCGCTGTGCAGCGTCGGCTCCGTGTCTCCCGGCCTCGAGCCGCCAGCGCGACCCGCTCGCGCCCCCGCCCCAGTCTCGAGCCCGAGCCCGCGCCCACCCCGCAGGAAGTGCCCAGCCCGCCGCGCCTCGGAGCCCGGCGGCTGGCGTGGCCCCCGGGGGGCGTTTTCGGCCCTCGGCTCGGGTGACCGCGGCGGGAGCCTCGTGCCCCAGTTCCTACCGGCAGGTCCGTGGGTCCTGCGCCCTGCCCCGTCCGGCGGCGCCGCGCTGCTCTGGACGCCCCTGCCCTCCCGCGCGGGCTGCGCCTCCGCAGTCGCCGGGGGAAAGTTTGGGCTCCCGGCCGCCCGCGGCGCACCGCCTGCGTCCACCGCCCTCCCCGAGCCAGGCAGCCTCGAGGAGAGAGCTGCGGGCCGAGCCGGGGCCGCTTGCCCTCCCGCCGCCGCCCGCAGCTCCTGACCCCACGGCCCCGGTCCCGCGCGCCCGGGCTTACCCCGCGCGCCGGCCCGGGAAGGCGAGCCGTCGGCGAGGGCGCATCCTCCTCCCCCGTCTGCTCTCCCCGGCTGGCAGGCGCGGAGGCCGGTGCGGCGTCACCGCCCCGTGCAGCCAGCGCGAACTTCCCCGGTGCTGCCGGGCCGAGCGCCTCGGGCGCCCCCCGCGCTCCCGCCGCCGCCCTGCGGCTCAGCTCCGCGCCCGAGGCCGCGCGCCGCCCCGCTGCAGAGCCCCCGGCGCCCCCGGCGCGCCGGCGCGCGCTCTCACCTCGCCTGAGCGCTACATGTCGGCTCCGGCTCTGAGAAACGCTCCTCTGAGGAGGCGCTCCGGTAGAGGCCGCCAGACTCTCACCAAACGCGCTCTGGCCCCGGGCCGGCTGCGAGGAAGGGGGAGCGTTCGGGGACCCCGGCTTGGCCAGCTCTGGGACAGGCCACGTTTCTGATGAAGTTTCTTGGTGGCCTGCGGGAGTGTATCGGCGCCTCGTGTCCCTCTTTTTAGGACTGAGATGGAAAGGGGGTGTCCAGGCAGCCGCCGAAGGCCGGGGCGCCGAGAGCTTTCCTGTCTCAGGACCAACCCTGAGCGCCTGTCTGGCCGGGCCTAAGTCCTGCCTCAGTCCTCCACGCAGTCCCCTGTGCCTGCAGCTCCTACTCTCTATTGGAAGAAAACTGGCCTCTTTAAAAAATTGTAATTCATTGCTATGGGAAGGAAAGTCAGTAAAATGGATTAATTAGAATTAAACGCTTACCTAATTGCTCTGTACATCTGGGGAGGCTGGGAAGTTCCCTTTCTGGACAACAAGCCTGCTTGCCAGTGACAGCAGGACTTAGGGTCTGCAGAATTGAGAGTGGGTCTTGGACGTGAATTCTGCTGTAGGGCGTTACCTCCCGCACCCACGAACACGTGAAATTCCATTATTGCGGTCATGTTCGTCTCTGCCTCAGCGTGCCTACTCTGAGTGCTGAGGCTGGCTGGCACAAATGACGCTTGAGCAGGATAGGGAGGCAAAGCAGCACAGTTCTGGTTATAAGATGGCAGCGTCTGATTTTCTCCAGAGGGGATGCCTGTTGGCTATGAGAACACCCAGGGGGAAATGTTCAATATTTAAATAAACCCAGCAAGAACCTGATGGGCAGTGTATTACCATTTCTATGTCTCTGACAAAATACTTAGAAAGACTTTGAGAGTCAGAGTCAAAAGACTCTGACTGAATTGTTTACAGTCACTCAACAGAATAATTGTGAGAAGGGCAAATTTCTAACTCTCCTCCAGAAAAGATCTTTAATCATTCAGTGTGTGAAGTCACACTATCCTTAGTTATGTTTAATACAACGCAGTCCAAATCTAAGCTAACTGCTGGCACTTTTGCACATGCCAAAAATTCTAAGATTTTCTAAAAATAGCAGCTTCTAGATATATTTCAGAAATAGGACAAAAAAATACATAAATGTTCCAAGTATAAGGAAGTGTTATTCTGAGTATACATTTAGTCATAGTATTAAATAGCTCTGATTCCAGTGGTTCTGCATGAAATATAAATTAGATAAGATGCTTATTTGAAAGGCTTTTCTGATTCTGAAGTGAATAAATTGAACACAGACATTTCTTAATTTTCTAATTACTCAAAAATCCTATCACTAAGATAAAGTTCATTGAAAATCAAAATCATTAAATTTAAAGCAATAAAAATCAATTTAATTGTAACCTACTAAGTGTTAGAATTCTAGGTTTAGAGATACCAGTGATAATTACTCTTTTCCCAATATTAAATAACATAAGGCAAATCAAACAGTTCAAATAACTAGTGAATTTAAAGCCTTAGAGATTACCAAAGGAAATCATTTAGTAATTTTTGCAAAGAAATGCAGATCAACCAGGGATTATTTTGTATTAATGAGAGTTACAGATACTGATTTTTAACAATAATACTTTAATGGATTTAATCAACTGTAAGAGAATTTATGTTCTTTTCATGAATTATTTTTAAAATTTCCATGCCTTCCCTATCAGTCTAATGTCAATGCATATTATTGAACACATGGAAATTATGTTTATTGAGAGCTAATCTTTAAATTTTATTTAACCGTGTGGCTTAAATACTTAATTTCTCCATGTGATGAAATGGTAACCCCATCTCTTCTCTTAATATTTATGAACATATAAAGAGCCATAGGTTGGGCCTGAAAGGATAGTGAAATAATAAGGCATACCTTATAGAAATTCATATGTTAGAAGAATATATATTACCATTTCATAATATTTGTTTTAATATGAAATTTAGTGTTTGCCCTGGGAAATTATGGTCTATCCACTTAACTCCCATTTGGTCTATTAGCATTTTCCCTTGTGTTGAATGACAGAAAGCAAAGTAGTCATGGTTCTGGAAAGCAGTAGAGGGCACCACAGTTCCACATAACCTTGAATAAGTCTCCATAAAAGCTTCCAAGTGAGAGACTGAACCTGGGGAAGCCAGGCAGTGGGTAGACACCCTCTATTCCATCCAGAACAGAGGCAGCACAGCTAGGCTGTGTTTGTGGCAGTAGGTGAAGTAGAGATGGCTAAACAAAAAACAGTATTGCCATAAGGAAGCAGAGCTTGTTGAGAAGTTGAATGGAGAGTCTTCTAAGCTAAGAGTCCACTCGTATAAGATGTTCATTGAATTGTGTGTAATTTAGTATTTAGGAAAATTCAAGTGCAGGGTAAAGACAGAAAGAGATAAGATGAGTCGGGTTCAGTACAGTCCAGTCACTCAGTCGTGTCCGACTCTTTGCGACCCCATGAACTGCAGCATGCCAGTCCTCTCTGTCCAACACCAACTCCTAGAGACCACCAAACTCATGTCCATTGAGTCGGTGATGCCATCCAACTGTCTCATCTTCTGTCGTCCCCTTCTCCTCCTGCCCTCAATCTTTCCCAGCATCAGGGTCTTTTCCAGTGAGTCACCTCTCTGCATCAGGTGGCCAAAGTATTGGAGTTTCAGCTTCAGCATCAGTCCTTCCAATGAACACCCAGGACTGACTTCCTTTAGGATTGACTGATTGGATTTCCTTGCACTCCAAGGGACTCTCAAGAGTCTTCTCCAACACCACAGTTCAAAAGCATCAATTCTTCGGCACCCAGCTTTCTTTATAATCAAACTCTCACACCCATACATGACCACTGGAAAAA